GGACTGGATGGATGGATGGATGGATGGATGGATGGATAAACAAATGAGGAAGATGCTGTTCGAAAGTAAAGAAAGGATCAAAATAATTATGAAGGGGAAATGGTTGATCGAAGCGGTAAGATCATTGCGCTGTGACATTCGTGTTACATCCAGTCAAGCAGTGAAATGGCTGGAAATCTACTACAGCTGCAATAAGATGACAGGTAAGAAAGGGATGCAGTAGATGGAGATGGGATAAGTGAGTAGACAAGTACCTCTTCACTCGGTACAGGGAGAAAGGGATAGTGCATTGGTCTGATGGTAGCCGCGATGCGGTTGCTATCGCAACTCATCGAACCGGATGCCCTGCGGCTGGCAGCTCAAAACGGGCAAACGATAGTGGTACGGGAGAGGTTTTAGTGGCAGCAATAGTTTTAGTGTTATGGTGGTAATGATTGTGGTAATGTTCTTGTATCAGCACAACCATTGTATAAATATTTTTCTCAAAGAAAAAAAGTACGAAAACAAAGTTCGACAAACTTTCTGAAAAAAAATCTTTTAGCCTGATTTTTCGTTTACCTCTCTGTGAAAGTTTCCTTCTATCTCAGAAAGCATGAAGACTACAGGATAGGATGGCAGTTATCAACTGATAAAACAATATTCGTTTCACTCCTCTATTTTAAATCTTCAACTATCTCATTAAAAAGAAGCTTCCAGCATTGGCAAATTGTTCTGTCAGTACACTTCCCCAACTTAACTTTTTCAGAGTGTCTGTCAATAAGTTTCCCACTGATCACACATTTTACCAAAAACTAAATTAATAATATAATCACGAGGGGACAAAAATATCTAGCAATGGAAATGTTGTGGATTATTGTTCAAGAGTATCTGTGCTCCCTTTTAAAACACATTGATTAAAGGGGCTCTTCGAATTTGATTACCAAACCTTCTTTTTTCTTTGCATTTTGAGTTCTCTCCCTACCTAAACAATGGCTTCTATATCTAAACTTCGTTTTCAGAAGATTTTGAAGTTTTCCAGAATATCTATAAATTTCAAATGCAGCTGGCAGATATGACTGGCTTTTGAACATCGCATATTATTCCGATTATCGCAATGCAGTTTGCCGAATTTTCCAAATTAAACTCTACATTTTATAAATTTAAATCATTATCATGAAGTAATAAAAGCTCATTTAATCCCGATATTAATTACCACAAATACAACAAGACAATTTGTAGCTAACAGTTTCAACTACGCATTGATAATTTAAAAATGTCCTCTCCCATTTTCTCTTTAAGTCATATTTTCTTAACAACGATCGATGCCTTTGGATGTGTCTTCGAACATGCGACAATGTCTGTTGTCAGATTAAATATTGTCATATGGAAAAATCGATAGCATACTTGCTAATTTGTCAAATCCCACATTTATGACTATTTAAATTAGTATTTATAAAGCATACGTTTGGCTTATTTACAATTTGGGTTATTTACAGTCAGTATACCAATGGGATTGATAAAAATGATAAGGAAAAGTTCAGTTGCTGAAGCAATGCCAAATTTTATCACCTCATCGCTCTGCGGCGATACAAGCTAGTCATGGATTGTACATACATCAGAATCACTTGTTAAATATATTCTAGCTCCATCGTATCACCTGTTTAGAGTTTTAAGTTTTAATCACTTTTAGAGTTTTAATCACTATTTAAATTATCGTTTATAACTATTTAATATTTATAAAGCATACGTTTGGCTTATTTACAAATCTTTTCGAACGAAAAAAAAAAAGATGTAAATGTGAATTGAGACACTTTACAATTCAAATTATCTATGCAAGAAAGTAACATCTGGTTTACAAGCTAAAGAGTGAGAAAAATAAGGGAAATATCAAATGTGAATCATTCAGGTATGGATGGTCAGAGAGACGAACTACATTTATAACTTCACTCGTATCAGTATTTCATAACTATCATCGTTTAGAAATAATTTTGTTACAACCATATGACTTTTGCTTTTCGATAATGTTTTATAGTGCGCATATGTCACCTCTCCCTCTGTCAAAAAGGAAACATGATAAGTTTCAAGAGAGAATTATGTAATAGCAGTACCAGTTTCTCGATATATCATATTCATTCTCTACATGATACACTACATGATAATATGTATTAACTCTTACATTTCTGTATGGTCGAATCTACTACTGGTGCTTGCTGTTATCACTCTCAAATATGAAAAAACCTGATGACATCGTTTAAAATGACAATCATTTTGTTTATTTACTTACACTGCTACTTTTTTCATTACATTTTTACTATATTTCAGTTTTTCGTTCTACTCTTTTTATTATCTATAAGAGCAACTACCCAATTTTTCTACCTTTAATTATCTATTCATACAACCTTTTATGAAAATGGACTTGGGTGTACTCAGGGTAGTAGTAATCAGGGTAATATCGGATTGCAAAGGAGCATCTATTCTAGAAGTTCAAGCAGTCTGGAAGATAATTCAAAATTTCGATTGATAGTGGATCGATCGTAAATTTATTATTTTTTGGCGCGATCACTGTGTGATTTAAAGATATACAGTTCAGATCAGTTTAGACTATTGCAGTTTAGACTTTTTTTGATCCCTCAGAAATTTGATAATTCCTTATTTACCTAAATATTTTGAAGTATATGTGATAATAGTAAAAGTAATAAATGAGAGTGACAAATGACCTTGGCATAGTGATCTGACATATGTGGAAATTATCAAATCATTTTAAATTATACATCACGCTGTATAGTGCGTGCGGATTTATTTACAAGTAAAACGAAACTGATAAGGTGCTGCAGTTACTGCAAATCTGGTTTTCTCAGTCGAACTCCTAGCTCTGTCCAACTGCGAATTGTTTTCCTATGCCTATTTAGTTTCGCTCTCAGCGTCCTTACTCCCTATAAAAGAGTCACTTCTTCTGGCTTAACACTCCTATCCACGGATCATATTTGAAGAACTTTCATTCTATCTATGTCACATCTCCCTTTCACAAAATCTTCAATTATTGCAAAAAAAGAAAAGAAAATCCCAATTTGGGGATTTAAGTAAATTTTAAATTCAATGAATATAAATATAAAGACTTGAAGTTTAAAGTCTTAAATGTTCGAGAATTTGAACAATTCTTCAACACTCAACATAGGTATGAATAGTACTTCTTTATCATTTACAACACATCTTTCTATAAAAATGCGAAAATCAAAGAATTACTGCTTGTACCAATCGGTAATCAATACAGAACTTTGCAATGCAATAGAAAACAGTATAATCAAAATGTTGATGTAATTTGTAAAAACTAAGGTTGTGGGCCAAGTTTTTTAAAGATCAGCTTATTAAATGGCATCGAAATCCCTTATAGAACCTTATGTATCTTGAATTAATGATTTAAGAGATGATTCTGGAAATAAATCGAAAACCATTTATGGGTCTTAAAAATGATGTCTGGAGAACTAAGAATCCATCGTCCAATGAGCATATGTTTTAAGGGCATAAAAGTCTTGGACCTCCAGTGAAGATCAGGTCATTAGACTACTTCGTTTAACTTTACTACTCGAGGTCATCAATATTCGGCTTTGTTCTAGCAAATTGGCATCTAAAAAACTTTGTCATAGCTAGAATGAAGCTAACAACTTATCAACTCACAAGGTTCTACTTCCGTAGACTCTCCAAGACTGCAAGACCTGAAAAAAAAATCCGTGCTTTAAATGACGAATTTTTCACGATACAAAAAAATGTATCGTCTTTCTCGACTCTCTTGCTTGTTCTTCAGATTAATTGCACAAATCAATAACACTTAGTTCTTGTTTGTTACCAAAGAAATCGTACCTGCATGGGCAGGAACGCTTTCGTATAGTCCTGCCTACACCGCAGGTCTCAGAACAAACACTCCATATTCCCCAGTGTGACCATGAACAAGAAGCTATGCTAAAATTACTGCGATAAGCTGTCATTCGTTCTTCAGGCACTGCGATACCTCTCGACGTTATCGATGGTGATAACGATGTGAATTCTGCTGTTGTACCGACCTTCTGATCCGAACTTATCATTTGCATACGTGGACAGAAGCATGCAATCTGCTCCACAAGTTTGCCATCACAGTGACACTTGGCTTTTGCTGCTGGAAAAGTAAGCAACACGATTGTTTCCATTAATTTTAAAATGTAATACCGAAACACGGCATTATCTATTGGCTTTTGATGAGTAGATGTAAGCAATAAAGTAACATAGAAACCAACAAATTCCAATGCAGGATCGTGTTTTCGTTTTGAACCCTCCCATACAAGAAGCCTCTGAACTCCATGAGGACCACAAACAGTCCACATCATTATCATGATTGGCGATCGTCACTGTTGGGCGGCAGTTATATGGCGAAAGATTAAGGAAATCCGACCGAGCTGGATACGCACGGGGAGCTGTATTCTGTTCTCTTGTGGGTAATCGGAATTCTTGCCTTATGGAGCACTCCTTAATGAAGTATACCCTGTAACTTCCATTGAAAAATTCATGAACTTTTAAAACATTGGAAAGTTTTTGAAAAGTACCGAAAGAATGCAAGGATCTTTTTTAGTGTTGCTACTTGATGTATCATCACTTGCTGAGATACCATCAACACAATACCGAGCACGTATGCGAT